TGGATTCTCAAGCTTTTCTTAGAGGAGAGATTTAAAAAGCTTGGAAGTCTTGGCAAGTAAAAGAGGCACTCGGTCTTTTCCACAGTACAAGACAATATTTTAAAACCTGGTAAAAAGATATTTTTTTAATACCATGCATGATTAACAGCTAGAACTCATTGCCACAAGATACCACTGAAGCCAAGAACTTAGTATGAATTTTAGGAGTAGACATTATGGCCATTGAAAACATCCAGTTGCATTACTTGAATGTCAGCTGTCATGTTTCAAGCCACAAACCCATCACTCTCTGACGAGGAAGACTGTCTGTCATAGGAGCTTCTGAGATGGTCCTAGAATAGAGGAACAATGTGTATAATTCAATAGAAGAGTACCTATATTTTTAATGTTCTCTGTTAGTACTTTAAGACAGTAAGTAAACCTTTCTAACAGGCATGCTGTATAAGGTAAGCCCCAGGTGCCACTCTGATCCCTTTCCTTTTCCCCTGCCCAATCTGCTGCTCTGCTTTCTGGTCTTTGTCCTGTTCTGCCCGTCTCATGTGCTGCTCTGCTTTCTGCTCCCTGCCCTACCTGCTGCTGTGTTCCCTGCTTGCACCATGATCTGCCACATGCCCCACACAAAAACTGGCAGATCATGTACTGACAGTTGGCCACCCCCTGCTTTGAGGCACCATCTGACTCTGTAGTTTGAAATGAGATTATTGGGCAGGCCATGTGGAAAGCAGCACAATAGACCCTTGGTTTTGGACTGGGTTGCCTTTTTGGTGGAAGCACTTTTCTAACCTTACCCACTCATGAATAATAGAGTCCTTTTTTAAAAAATCCATTTGCAGCTTTGGAAGTGCTGATTAAATAACATTTTGCCAATACTGAATCAATGCCACCTTCTGATGAGTGGGACCCCTGGGAATGGCTTTGCAGTATTGCCTTTACAGCACCACTGAGTGGGGAAGGAAATATTTGGGGTGGGTTCATTCAGACAGAAAGCAAGGGTTTTGTGTCTCGTCCCTGTGTGGGGTTTTCATAAGCTATTTATAGGCTTACCAGCCCAGCAAACTGAGCAGTTAGATATGATAAGAAACTCAGGAGGGCATGCCTTTCTAGTCTGCTGCAAAGCAGCATTGTGGACTCAGCAGGTAGGTTCTTAGAGTGGGCAAGTACCCAGAAACTCTGCAGTCTTGCTGGGACCTGATCGTTCTTCACGAATAACAAGCATTTAATATTTCATTCACACACAGTCTTGTTAAAATGGTTTGATCCAGCACAAGCCTAGAGAACTTTGAGTTGCACTCAGAATATATCCAGCCGTTTAGAATAGGATGCAAATACAGGTGCAGGAAGTGTATGTTTCTAAGTGATTTAGCAACAGACAAAAAATTGCTTGGTGCTAGAGAGCAAAATAAATACGTGGCAACAAGAGGGGAAATGAGTGAGTTCATATATGACACGCCACCCTGTTTTGCTAACCCAAAATCTGTTTTCCACCCTGATAGAGCTTAAGTTTATTTGGAAGAAAGGAACCACAAGCCTCTCTATCAGCCAATTTTGTATAGCAGCTAGAATTCCTGTTGCTGTGAGTCTTTGCTCCAAGTTGTGAACTTGCTTAATTTAATGATAGCTATTTTAATCAGTAAGACTTGTTTTAATTACAATAGAGTGCTTTCCATTTTATATGGAAAAACCTGCAGATATTGTTCAGTGCATTAATTGAAAATGCAAGCTTTCTTTTGAAAGATTTATTCTGCAACTTAGCCCAATAGCTGTCTAATCAATGCATTCACTTGTCAACACCCTTTTTACCTAAGCAAAAAAAAAAGGGGGGGGGGTGGAAGAAAAGAGGAGGGGAGTAGGATCTTTGGATAGATAAGGCAGCAAGGCACAGTCTAAAAGCAAAGCAGCAAAATAAATGCCTGGAATATATGAAATGTCATCTTGCACAGAAATTATCCTGCAGTTCCAGTGTGGATGGAAGAAAAAATACATCCCCAAAATGAGCTGGTGCATATGTGGTTTGAAATGATATTTCCATTAGTGAAGCCTTCCTTATTGATCTCTCTCTTTTTAATCTTGGACAGTTCGTGTTTTCTCTTCATCTATTTTGTCGTGTTTTTAATTTTTTCTCCCCGCTAGCTGGTTTGTCCTTTTTTTTTTCCTTTTCTTTTTCTTTGCTGTGTTCAACATCACAATGTTTGTTACCACTGTTGCAGGGTATTTCTTTCCTCTCTTCCTCTTCCTCATGTTTGACACACTCACTTTGATCTGTTTTGGAAGCACTTTATCAGCACTTGCTTATAGTACGAATTGCCTCCTTTTCGTTCAGGAAACATTATTAGTGTTCTAGCAGTGCTGGGATGGCTTTTATCTCCCTGTGGAATCTCATTAGGTTTACATTACAATAGGAACAGCATATGTGCAGCTATGCCAAAGTGGCCAGTCAATTTGAATTTGTTAATGGTGATTTTTTTTTTTCCATGCAACTTTTTCCCCATATCTTCAATGCCAAGGGAAAACAACTTTGTTCAGGAGAAAAACACAATTTGTCAGAAGCAGATATCCAAGCAGAAAAGGAACTGCTACTCATAAATATCTTCAGAACTGCCTTTCCTTTTTTACATGTCTGGTAGTGTCCTATAAATCTGAGCACTGTCTTAAAAGGCAGGGGGAAAAAATCATGTTCCGAGTTGGATAAATGGTATTAAGAAGTTACTGTAATCCATGAGATTTAATGGCAAGAATGACTGACTTTCTTTTTTTTAAATTCCTAATTCATATTGTGGGAGCAGTATGAAAGCCCAGGTGGGATTGGAGCCCCATCGGGTTGGATACTACATAAGCTCCTAGGAAGACACCCAGTTCTTGTCCCAAAATTGCTCACTGTCCAAAGGCCAGATTCCATTCCCCTTCATGTTTAAAAAGTGTCTTAATCCATAAACACTTAAATCAATGGGGCTGCCTTCCTTGAAGGTACTATTCTGTATAAGGATATGTGGGCTCTGAAAGTTATGTGGACACTCCCTTATTTCAGAGTAAGAATGCTTGTTTCATTTTAGCATAGCCTACTGTGAAGATGGATTAAGCTATAGATGGTAATAAAGCACTCTGTATTATGGAGCAAGTGTGGTCCACAATATGGGATTTTTGTGTAATAGCTCCCAAGTTCTTAAACCTGTGCCTTGTCTTAAGTTGATTTAACTTTCAAATGTAGAGCAGCCGTGAGACATGCTTGCCTCTTTCTTATATTTAAAAAAAACCCAAACAAACTAGGATACAACTAAGGTACCTTTGATCCTGCTCGTGATTGTATTCATAGATGTACAGATTTTGAAGTCAGGACAATGCATAGTGCTGATTCTGTCTTGATTTACTGCTGGATGCTCCAGATCAGAGAATTTTGCCAGGAATTCTTGCATCAAGCCCATAACTTCTGGTTCCGATGAAGCAGTGATCCCTCAACTTTAACCGTGTGTTGTCCAGGAGACAGTCTGATGCTGCTTGTAGTCACAGGAAATTAAACGTATAAAACAGAGATTGACAGGGAGAAGAAAATTTGTTGTTCCCAGCAGTGTTTCTTGCCCAGTATTGTTACTCAGGAAAGGTTTGAGATCACTGAAGCAAATCATATTTCTTAAAAAGTTCCCTCAGTCTTGACTTGAAGGCTTCCATGATGGAGAATGTAGTGAGTTTTCCCAATGGTCACTGTAGACAATTTACACCTAACTTCTAGTCTGAATTTGTTCAGCTGTAACTTCTTGTCTTTTGGGTTTTGTTCTGCCTTTGCCCAATGGATTAAAAAATTGTCTATGAGAAATCTTCTCTCAGCCTGGGATCACATTAATGGATTCTGGACCATGGAGGAAATTAAAAAGAGCATTAGATTCATATAGGTTTGATCTAAACAACTTCAAATGGGACTGCAACACTTGTATATGCAGTTTTTAAACTTTATTGTTAAAACTACAAGGCCAGTCTCTACTTTACCATTCACATGCAGTACTGTATTGGTACATTGTCATGTACCTCAACTACATCTCAGGTCTTCCAGTGGAAAAGTGGAATCTTTATTAAAAACAACAACCCCAAAACACAAAACTTGATTTTTAAGAAGTTGAACACCTCTTTTTCCACAAGCTTGTACACAAGAATCACTTAAATTTGCTATTGCAATTAAAACTTGAAAGTAATTTCCTTGACCCAGGAACAAGGATAATAATTTATTCTCAATGAGTGATATCAGAATCACTATGGATCTTTTCCTTCACAGAGCTAATTACCAGGACTTAAAGGTGTATAAAACTTAGGAAGAATTACAAAAAAAGAAGTGTAGGCACATAGAGATGAGAAAACTAAGTATTTTTTTCTGAAGCACTTAGCCATGCTTCAATTTGTTAGTGATTTTAATGCTACACTGGCTCCATTCACAGAGGCACATCCAAGAGGGAAGTATTCTACTCTTCTGCACTGTAGAAGTCTAGTTTAGGAGCATTCTTTAATGTAGCTGCTATTTTTTTAAATATAACCCAGTATGTTAATATTTTTGCAGAATTTTGCATATGAAAATAGTGGATATAGAAAACCTTTATAATGCCTTTCCTCTAGAGGTATAAACGTGCCTTCTGAAGCTGTGCCCAATAATTGAAGGGGCTAAAGAGTTAATTGAGTTAACAGACTGAGTCACAGCAGAGACAGGAATAGATCCAGAGTCTTTCAGTATCCCCTACTTTTCCCTGACTTTACCATGAGCATGTTTCCTCTCTACATTGCTTTTTAAAATGCAATGGCAAAAATACTGTATTTACTTGCGTATCAAGTCCCTGGCCATGTTTGTCTCAACCAATTCTCTTGCATTACTGAGAGCAAAAGAATAAGACTGGAAAAGCTTCTCAGAGGCCACTGGTGAGGATATATAGACTGCTTGGTTCCCAAATTCTGTATGCTAACATTTCTTCATCTGAAACACTGAAGTAGTAAACAAAGATTTTCCCCTTCTGTCCCTGGCACAGGTGACAGATCATGCAACCACTGCCTTATTGCACTACCAGCTACCCCAGATGCCAGACGTGGTGGTCAGATCCTTCATGGTAAGTCTATTGGAAGGGAAATGCTTACCGCCAGACTTCAGCATCACGTGGCAATTGAACATCACTGCCAGCTCAGGCAGCAGTGTGATTTCCCATATTTAAATGAGTTAAACTTAATTATTTACAAAAACATTGTAAAAACTGCCTTTCTCAGGTAAGTAATTCTCTTGAAGTAATTGGTACCATTCTCAATACATTGGGTTGGGTGGTGTTTGAAAAGGATTTGATGTGTAGTTGTAGCTTCTCGTAGATGTTGGCATTTATTTGCTAATTGTCATCTGTGGAGCTGGCTTGGGGGTCAGCTCTAACACGAATGTCTGCTCAGGCGGCGCACAGGAGTTGGAGTCTGGCTGTAACCAACCAGCTGAAAATTCCCCAGTGAGAACTTGCAGCTGGGATAAAACCAGAAGAGCCAGCTCTTTCATCAACTGGCCCCCTGGGAAAGGATGTACATTTGGGGATGGGAGAGGGACTGTTGGGAGACAGGGCTTGCTACATCAGTCTGCTCCCACTGTGTTCCTCAGGGACCGTGCACAACTAACATCACTCAGGCCAAGGGGATGGCTTGTGTATGTGCCCAGCCTCACTTGAGAATCTGCCAGAAAGAAATTAAGAGATGCAGTTATTGAAAACAATCTCAACCTTAATGCACACATCAAAAGCCCAGCTTAAATCTGAGTAGATTTGGAATTCAGTTTCTGAAAATGGGCTCAAACTCTCCTGCTGTTTGGTGAAAGAAAACAGTAGTTTCTTATTCAGCACTCTTCCAGGCATGATGCATTTTGGCAAGTGGCCGGTGTTTAATCTACCCCACTCTGTTGAAGAAACCCTTTTACACTGCACACATAGTTCACTTCACCTTTTCTTCTAACTTGTCCTGAACAAAGCTTAAAAATATGGGCAGTTTTCAAAATTATGCAAGGCAGCTGGTTTGCTTTCATCCGTGGAGAGCACATGAAGCTACAGCAATGGGTCAGGTGAGACTTCTTTAGCATTCCTATCATCAGGTATCTGATTTGAAAGCAGTTAAACTCCTTTACCTGCTGCATTTATTGGTTTACTTAATAAAAAGTCCACTAAGATAATATGCACGTGTGTAGGACGTTCCTCTTAAAGCACATCTTGCACATGAGCTTTGAACAGGGGAAGCAGGCGTTACTGGTCCCATCCATGTTTCAGGCAACAAGTGTCCAAAAATTAATCTTTAATGAAATAAGTAATGCATTTGCCTAAGCCATGGGCTGCCTTATTGGTTTGGGTAAAATGTTGCTGAAAACTTGGGGAAAAAAAAATAAGACCACATGCACATGGTATGTGTCAATATGTTAGTCCTTTCACATGTCAGATGCACAATCTGTTTGACAGGATGCAGTGAAGTCTTAATTTTCTGACAAGAATGAAGAACTCTTTTTTTTCTTTCAACAGATGTTTCTTAAGTGCACAATTTAACTGTATTTACCTATTTTCATATTATAGCTCAGAAAATTTGATTTTTTTTGCATGCAAACTAAGTTCACCAGAGCTGAAGTAAATAACAGCAGTTTGCCCATAGTGTTCTGTTGCCCTTGTCTCTATATTTACTGCTAAACCCAGAGACGGTCTCGTTCTTTTGGAGGAGAGTTATTGACGGCCTGACGTTGTGCTGCTATGGAGAAGGCTGTGATGAAGATGGAAGGATTTGTTTCAATAAGCTCTGTTGACCTCTTCTTCAGAGAACAATTTTCTCTTATCGACGTAATTCAATAGGACTTTAAATGACAAGATTCATGTGCATCCTTCACACTGTGAATCTGCTTGCCTGGGTTTTTTGAGTTGCACATCTCCTTGAGCTTGGACTTGAGTTATGTAATGCTCCTTCTTATGTATTACAATAGGAACAACCCAGTTAAGATGAGACCTTTACTTAGGAAGGGTTGAGCCTGTTCTTTGTTACTTCTGACCTCACAGCATATTCCCTTTCGCTTGCATCTGTGTAATCAGTGACAAATTTTTTAGAGCATTTTCATGGCCAATGAATATTGATCTTGAAATAGCATTAGAAAGAAAATGAGTTCCCTTGGTTTTAGAAGCCCCCTGTCTTCAGCTCTTCAGAGGTCAGGTTTTGCCCTATATGTCTTGCAGCTGAGGTGTGATAGATGAATATTAGACAAAGACAAGCCAATGGCCAGGGCACAGATATCAGTGAATGGTCAAACGCAATGCCATTTCATTCAGAATATGAGGAATAGCCAAAGGCTGTGATGAGCTTCTACCTACTAATACTTCTCATGGCATAAACTTCTATTTACAAAGTTGCTTTTTGGACCAAGGGAGTAGATTCCAATAAAATGGAGAATCAGCTGTATGGTGCCCTTGTGATCTTCTACATGCCTCCCTGTGTGTATAAAATCACTGTGCATCTTGCTGGTTCCAAGCCAAGGTACATTCTCCATCCTTGGTATCACTGTGTTTTGACAGGAATGATGACACTGAGGAACATCCCTATCTAGTTTCCTTAATTTCTCTCTACACTTTTTCTTCTAGACCTGGTTAAGAAGTTACATAAAGCTGTTCCAGGCTCCATGCCAGCGCTGTGGAAAGTTTCTGCAGGATGGCCTGCCACCCACCTGGAGGGATTTCCGAACTCTTGAGGCCTTTCATGACACCTGCAGGCAATAGTAACGCAGCTGAGTCATTGGCCTGGCATGATGGAAAATGGGTTTACGGACCCAGTTGGTTGCAAATAAGCTCTGAACAGTGTTGATGGTCATTGGTGGATTCTATTTTTCAGCGTCCACATGCGCATTCCCACCTTTAGCAAATCAGTCCTTACTGAATAGTAAAGATGCATTGCTACATTTGACCATCAAAAGGGGCATCTTTCTGCAAGGTACTCATGAAAAAAATGTTTGTCTTCGACATAAGCACAGAGGAAAAGAAGAAAATCTCTCGTTACAGGAAGGTTCTGTGTGCTTTGCATTGGAACTTCTGTCCTGAAATTATCTTCTGGGATCCGTGTCTTGTAGTCATTTCAAAAGCAACTGATATTTTGATGAGATGACCCATGTACAATTGTCTGTTTTGCTACAGTTTTCTTTGTAGTGGAGAACTTTATTTTTACAAACCAAAAATAAACTTTTATATTCAAAGAGACTATGTCATTTACTTTGTTACTTTCTAACAAATGCTGAATTCAGGCTGAAGTTTTCAAATCAAAGCATTTGATTTGATGTTTAATCTGGAGAAATTAAAAAATATATGCTGGTAGAATTGTTTTGGATTTTTTTTGTTCCTTGCAAGGCTGCTTTTCTGGGCTGCTCTTGTTCTGGAAGAGATTATGGTGCTGATAAACATGAAATTTCAAAGGCATGTAGCAGCTTGGAAGATGGATTGTACTTTTTGAGAGAAGAAACAGATGTTTCCCCTTACTAAAAATGTAATGAGAAAAATGTTAGCAAAATCTGTATGTATTAAGCAGTTAGAAAATGTGTGATGAGCAATGACAGTCTCTAATTCATTTGCCCTGTTTTAGTATTGAAAGTTGCAAAATAAATTGAGGCTTCAAGCACAGTTTTTGTAGCACAGATATGTGCATGTACAGCACTGTGATTTAAAACTTGTGTATTTAAATAAGACCCTATATTGCTGTAGCAAAGGGTGGCATGTCCCCCTGATCCATGCTGAGGTACCTGTTCCTTTAGGTTAGCTGGTAGAAGCCAAGGCTGATGGTCTCTGGTTCAGTCTCGATGGGATGTACCTTTCCGGGTACTTACCCAGAGAACGTTATTGCATGTCACCATCCCTGTTGCCCCCATGGCTGCGCTTCCTGACTACTTATCTTCATGATTTTCAGAATCCACAAGGATTACAGCTTTGGAAGCCAGTATGGAGAGAGAGAGAAAAGGGCTTTTTGGTGGGGGTAGTTGGCTTTTTCATCAGATTTGATAGCATGCCATAATGCTGCAAGCTCTTTTTGTGGCCCCGTCAATCAGCGTGAAGGGTGCTTGTGGCTAAAAAGGTAAGAAATCTTTTTCTCAAGCTTTTGTTTTTTAGTAAAAATCTTCGGGCAGAGTTTCTGCCGTTGTGGCAATGTAAAGGAAGGTGGTTCACTTGCACATGTTCTATCCCAAGAACTTAAAGCACTCTGCAAATAGCAGTGAATTAAGCCTACAAATAATCTCCCTGAGGCAGTGGTAGCTAATAGATGTGGAAACTGAAATTTGGAATGGCCGTGACTTGTTTCCAGTGCTGTTCTTTAGCGGTTTAGTACTGAATCAAATGTGATTGCATCGCATTGCTAATGTGAAGGACTACATCTGCAACACCGATTTCCTCTTAATATAAAAACAAACATGGATGCTTCTAAGCGGGCCTAGTTCAGATGGAGGACACTGGCTCTTCAAAAGGAGACATGCGCATGCTGTGTCTTTCAAAGACCTCCGCAGTGTTTGATTGCAAGGCATGAATGTACATTTAATCAATGAAGTTGATGAACAGGAGTGATTAGTGTTATGCTTTCTCACCTTTCAAATTTTTTTTAGTTCTCTACAAATTATAAATACTAACTTTAGACTTCAGGGATTTGTCAAGATAAGTACAGTTGATTTACCTAGTGAAAGCCAGTCCCATTGCACAAATGACTGCTTGCTTGCTGCACTTGACCTCTCTGGAGTTCTTGGGACAAAGATCACACTGGACAGGACAGTATGTGCATCTCAGATGAGAGCAAGCATCGTATAAGTGGTCCTGCCATCATTCCACCTAGCCTGTGAATAATGAGAGCTTAGTTTTCTGATGCTGTCAGCTTTTTCTCTCTTCTTTTTTAATAAGAAGGTCACAATATGGTTTTCATCAGGCTTTGGAGGTCTCTGAATGTTCTGCTTTGTTTGTTTGAATAATGGGGCAGAAAGTAACCCACAGCATTCATAGCAACATGTTATGTGAAATAATGCATTGGCCCTTGAGAGGTAATTAGTTGTAGAGAACCACGTCAGTCACTCTGTGTATTAATTGAATTTGAAATTTTGAACCTATAATTGGCTAGCCTGGTGCAGAGTCATAACATTTCATCACAGGCACTTGATCAGAAGAAAAATTGTCTTGGTCATGGAAACCTAAAACAAACTTGGTTTGCATAATCCTTCCAAAAAGGCCAAGACAGGCAAGAATCTCTGGCTACCCACAAAAGATCTAGCACAAATGGTGTCTTGCTTAACCTCTGCAGTTGCACTTATATATATATATATATAGAGAGAGAGAGAGAGAGAGGATAGGAATGAAGTAAAACTGTGTCTAAATTGCTCTTGCTTATGAACTGAGGCTGTGGAAAAAGTTGAAAGTTTTAGCAGCATAGACACGATGTAATTAAATCTGATCTTGATCCTAAAATTTTTGTTTGCTTGGTGATGATCACTGGTTGCTAATCACTGGCATGTGCATTTCCAAAGTGAAGAAGAAATTAGTTGACTGCTTTGAATTTTTAAGGTAGTGAAACTGCAGGCTTACCCTAACCAAACCTAAATTCTCTTGGTGAAAAGCCTTTTGCTCCTTCTGTTAAACTTGTGCCTTTGGCAGGGAATACCGTTCCCCTGGCTCAGTCCTGAGAAGGGAAAACTTGACAATGAAATGAGACTTCCTTGCAGGGTAGGTAAGTTTGGGTTTTGCTGTAATGTGTTAATTGTTGCAGCTTCTTTACAAAACTATTCAAATCCCTTGTGGCAGATATTAATGAATGTGTCTCCTGAGGAATGGGCAGCATATACCCCTATTGAACATTGAATGCTGAGGAGGAAAGAGGACTCCATTTTTCACAGCGCTGTATTTCGGCAAGACAAATGTCACTGTGGAAAGGGTGAGTAGCCAAATTCAGCAGGAGGGAGAAAGACGTGTAAATGTGTCTGTCCCATCAAATAACGCTGCCATCAAATAACACTGGAAACCATTGACTTCCCCTTCGTGGGTTGAGAGAGAATGCGCGGGAGGAAGCAGAGTTATTTTTCTGTTCAGACGTACAGTCCGTTCATGCTACAAAAAAAATGCATTGCCCTACCCTGCTTATTGTTATCTCAGTATTACTTATCCTCTGCAGATTCACCTTGCAGAGGATCCCTGATGTGAAGAAACCTCCTTCTTTTTTGTGTGCAAGCCCCTTCCTCCCCCCC